TGAAAAAGACAAATAAAGAATAGAATATAAAGATGCAAGACAAAGATGTTGTCGAGTAATGTAACACTATAAGCTAGCATGCACTAAACCTCTTTGCTTTTTCAAGATCCACAAAAAATATTTAACAAAGCTTTCAAAAAAAAAACATCATAGCTTCATGTATTTTGAAAAAAATCTAATGTCCCTTCTTATTATTTTTCTGTGACACATCAATTCAAAAATAAAAATTAAGAAAACTAATCATCGGTGGTTGATTTTTCATTTGTGGCTGTGAGAGATGCAGATGGAGGGGGTTCATAGGAGATGGGGACGGATTTCGCCGGAGAGAGTGAGAGACAGAGATGGACTGAGTTGCGATTTAGGGGTAGTTTATATACCCAAAACATTTGTGTTGCGAAAACGAAATTTGAGTTGCAAAATTTAAATTCGTGTTGCGAATTCGAAAATCGAGTTGCGAAAACAAAACTCGTGTTGCGAATTTAAAAATCGAGTTGCGTAACAGAAATTCGTGTTACGAAAATGTCAAATTTGAGTTGCGAATTCTACTTCTGTGTTGCGAATTCAGAAACTGTGTTGCGAAATTGGCTTTCGTGTTGCGAATTCGAAATTGAGTTGCAAATTCGTTGGTTATTTTTACAAATCTAAAAAAAGTTGGTTAAAATTGTATATTATAATGCATTTTCGGTCACTCGAGTTATTTTCTCTTGTTTTAATCAAGGAGAAAATCTCAATTTCAAGGCTAAGTGAGCTGAAGAGCTGGGCGCTTGTTGGTTCCCATGTTCATCTTTAATAAGATTCCAAAGCCCATACCAATTAGCAAGTGGTATCAAGTGCATACTGAGAATATATCTGGGCTGACAGTATAAGTTCCATCCATTCTTAACTCGGATTTATTTATAGTCTGAAGTTAGACTCGCAAGAGTCCATTTGAAGCTTGATTTTTGTTTTTCAAATAATTTGGAAAACATGTTCTGTGAATCATTTGACTTGTGGTGGAGATATGAGGTGTTGATGGATAGTATGGGATAGGACAAGTGGCGAACAGCGCGCATTGTCATCACCGGTGGGTGGATTCGTTTTCATGGATAGGGAAGAAGCAAACATCGTACTCCAATAATATATTATCATCTAAACAAATTTGTCGAATAACTTCACATCAGCCTTCTCGACGAGCCTGGAACCTTTCATAAAGTAGCTTAGTTGGACCAGTCCTTGTTCGAGAGAGTATGAAAGAAGTAATCTCATGGTATTTGGAATTTTTAGTAGAAAATATGAAAAAGCAGTCCAGTAATTTTTCAGAATCTTGCGAGGCAGTATATAAATCCCACAGCTCGTGTAATGAGGATAAAAGCAGTATGAAACTTGGCAACATGCCTCGTATATTTTCCACTAGAGGTGCCCACAGCTACGCCAACTCTTTCACCTCGGGAAAGGCCATCTGAAATACTGGGATTATGGTGGTTATCGGGGATTTGTAACGAAATAAAATATTTAAACAAAACTTTAGATTCGATTTGGAAGGTATTATACAAATGTGGTAGTCTCATCCTCAAAATAATTTGTGCCAGGAACGGAGTAGACGATCTCGAGACGATAACACAAAAACCATTGGTCAATCATTTTTTTTTTTGAAAAAGCTAAAAGATACAATGCACTTTCAGACTCAGCTAAACCATATCTTGATAACCCAAAACTAAAAGTCATATTTACATTTCCCAAAACTAAAACTATCAATAAATAAATAATTAATCAAAAAATTTTGAACTTCAAAACGAGCATATGATCAAACCTTGACTCCGTCACTGTATGTTCATTTGTTTTTTATGATTAGGGTTTTTGAGCATTATTATTATTATTATTATTATTATTATTATTATTATTATTGACTATTTCCCAACACTTGCTGATAACAAAAATATATATTTAATATCACTGCAGTGTGGTGTGAAACCTACTTTCCTGCTTTTCATCATTACTCGTATATAGGGGTGTAAAAGAGCCGAGTGTTTGAGTATTGCTGAACTCGATTCGATTCAAAAACTCGCGAGCTTAAAATTTTTAAACTTGACTTGAATTCGAAATCCTGAACTGAAGCTAGTGAGCAGTTCGAAAAGGCTCGAAATGAAGAAAAAAATCTTAAACTTAACTCGGTTAAAGCCTCAAACTTAAACTCGAACATGAACTTTAAATACATGAAATCTTACTGTATTTAAAAAAAAATCAATACATAAATATTAATATTATTATTAATTTATTTTTCAAAATAAAATCTTAATATATTATATTTTCGAGCTGCTCACGAGATTTTCGAGTCGAATATCGAGTAGCTCGTTTCAGCTCGTTAAGAACTCGAGTCGAGCTCGAGCTCGAGTCGAGTCCATTCGATCCGAGTATTTATCGAGTCTTGATCGAATCGATCTCGAATAACTCGCGATCTGTCTCGTCTCATTTACAACCCTACTCTAATAACACAATGCTTTTGTATGAAAAAGAAAGCCTAGTAATTTAAAGGAGGAGGCTTAAGCAGCAAAGATTCGAGCAAACCTTTTTCAAAAAGATTTATTATTTTTTGTACGATGAAACCCATCCTAGTGGGAATTCATGACAACAATATATCATTAAAGAAGTGTGGATTGTAGAAAATTAAAAGGGGAAATGGGTCAAAAAAAAATCTTATCTACACGACGTACCGCACATCCATGGAGGTTCCTATACGTTGATGAAACAGTGGCTTATATATTGGTAAGAGAAACATTTTCCAAATGTATAATTTGCGAAATCCTAGTACAAAACACAGAATTTAGAACGGATATTATGTTTATTTTATTAACCATTACATCAGAAAACATGAGTAATTTAGTAAGATTGAATCATGAGATTGTTTAGATATGGTTAGAATAGAATTCCCACTTTGATTAGGTGCTTAATTTTGATTGCTTGCTGGTTTAATTTTGATAGTGAAAGACAAAATCATTATAGGAAAACATTCATGTCTTTCTCAAGTATTTTCACTTGGAAACTTTTGGCGATTAGTGGGCATCATCCTATTCTCACTTTACTACTTGGATGCACTTCACAACAAGATGTGTTAATAAGAATTTGGAGGCGACTGAAGATGGAGATATTATATTAGCAACTGTTCTCAAATATGATCCGTCCTACAGTTTCAATAAGTTCATCCATCAGAGACTATGACGAAAGGGGCCCTTACCTAAAACAAACAGTGGTTAGGCCATCCGAAAAAGCCAAGCAAAAGCAGCCCCAACTGTAAAAAGTTAAGGATCCCATGAAGGTGTGTTAAAATGGAACAAACCACGAACCTGGATGCAAGTTGCAGCAAACATCCATGTAGTTCCAACTCGACCATCTTGCAAAAAATAACCTCGGGACAGTTGTTGGTCGGTCACAGATTTGTCCATGTCCAACTGTTGAACTCTGACGATGCAAATTATTTGACCAATCTTTTGTCCCTCAACTAAAATCTTTGCATGAGATCTGTGGGACAAGTACAATTCATGGATTTGCATTGTATCATCTTTTGGACAAGACAATTCCCGGTGTTCACAGTATGTTAGTCTGAGAAATGAAACAATAATAAAAATAAACTAGTGTTATTTTGAACCGAAGAGAAAAAAAACAAGCCAAAACAAAATAATGAACATTCACTTCATCTATATTGTGCTTGCACATTAGTTAAAAATATATCTTTCACGTTAAATAATTTTCAAGTTGGTTTCATATATATAAATATATCATGCTAGAGATAGATTGAGGGAAGAGTAAATATGGGTTGTTTGTCTCTTAAAATTTTTAAATTCTTATATATTTTAAATATTTTTTATATTCTTAAAATCTATTTCTGCACCTCTTCAAATTTTACAAGTTTATTTTCCTTCAAAATTTTATAAATTTAGTCCTCTCACATAAAATCTCGAGTCCATGTATTCCACACTTGGTATCTCACCAGTATGGGATATAAGTTTTCTATTTTGTCTCAACATAATTTACATATAGCTTGTTTTGAATATCAATTTTTAATTCATCACTCAATCATTTTAAACGTATAATATACCGTTGTAAAGGTTTTAAGGAGTGAAATATAAAATTATAATTTTATGTTTGGAATTTTTATCTTTACACATTTAAAATATACCTCAAAATTTCTAAAAATCTATTTTTGTTTACACCCGGAACATGATATGCTTATGAAATAAGTTTTCCATACCAAAATATATAAATTTTCTTCTATTTTCCTCAATGTTCCATGTAAATGAGTGGTTGATGAATGAGTGTGGAGAGTGAAAGCTCTAATCACTGCCCACAAAAGCAAAAAGTAGAGTAGCATCTTATTTTTCTAAACATTGCTTATTGAACTTTTGTATTAACAAATTGAATTATAGCCTCATTAACGGCAAGTTTAAATTGTTTTTCTTGGAAAAGCCTAACTATTAGGTAAGAGTGGCCAAAAAGCAAACAAATGCCGAGGAGGTGGTGTGTTTAGGGATGGTAATTTAATCCAAATTTGATAGGTTATGACCTGATTCGATAGGATTATATATATTTTTTTAAAAAAATTAATGTTCAGGTCGGATTGGGATGGATTTGGGTGGATGGTGAAATTTTTTTGATCCGACTCGAGGATAATAATATAATTTTCTAAAAATCTATATATATATTTTAATTAAATCCTTATTTTTTATCGGATCAGATCAAGTAAGGCCAAATTTATACTTTAAAATTTCAAGTCGATGAAAGATGTATTTTTTTGCGTCAGGTCAGATCGGGGGTATGTTATAAAATTTTCAAATTGAGTTCAAATGGAGGATGTATATTTTTAGATTGGATTTTGACAAAAACCCGATTAGTTGCCATCCCACTCCCTAGGGGTGCTTCACTGATTTGGCTGTGTCAATTGACTGTATTGATTGTTTACTCAATGATGCTTGGCTATAAATAGGATGAACGGCAGTTAATTAGATTCCCCACCGCCACCACTCAATTCGGCTTCTGTTCTTTCCCTTGGAGAAGAAAAGAGTGAAGGTTCAAACCGATAAAAACAATGGAGGTTTATGGGTGGTAGTCTCAAGCATCTTCTTCATTCTCTCTTCTTCTTCTTCTTCTTATGCTTATGCTTATGCTTCATATTCCATAAACATTATATTTGCTTGAAAAGAAATTTCTCTTTTAGAGAATCGAAACAATCATTCGCCAATTAAAGCAGAGAATATATTCCCCCATGGCTCTGTTCTCCAATGGTCACCACTCTTTTCTCACCATCTTTAGCTTCATTCTCGTTGTGTTTCTTCAAGGTAATGAGAATACATGCCTTAAAAACTGGTTTTGCTTCACATTTTCGTAAAATTTGATCTTTTTTTGTTGTAAATAAACCGATTCAATCCTCTGTTTCTCTGTTTTTTTCCTGCAGGTGTCACGGCTGCCACTTTTACATTCAACAACAAATGCGATTACACAGTATGGCCTGGAATTCTAGCTAATCTAGGAAGTCCGAAGATTGAAAGTACAGGCTTTGAGCTCACAAAAGGCAGCTCTCGTTCTTTCCAAGCTCCTACAGGTTGGTCAGGTCGGTTCTGGGGTCGAACAGGCTGCAATTTCGATGCTTCCGGCCGCGGGTCATGCGCTACAGGCGACTGCGGCTCCGGCGAAATTGAATGCAACGGAGCTGGGGCCATCCCGCCGGCCACCTTAGCCGAGTTCACGTTGGGTTCAGGGTCACAAGACTTCTACGACGTGAGTCTGGTCGATGGCTACAATTTGCCTATGATCGTGGAAGGAAATGGAGGGTCAGGAGAGTGTGCCACCACCGGTTGCTTGACGGATTTGAACAAAAAGTGCCCATCCGAACTGAGAATCGACGGCGGGGAGGCCTGTAAGAGTGCCTGCGACGCATTCGGAAAGCCGGAGTACTGTTGTAGCGGAGCCTACAATAGTCCGGCCGCCTGTAAACCGTCCATGTACTCGCAAGTGTTCAAATCAGCCTGCCCCAAATCCTATAGCTATGCTTTTGATGATGCCACCAGCACTTTCACTTGCTCTGGCTCTGATTACACCATCACCTTCTGTCCAAATGTCCCAAGGTAAATTCCCAAACTTAACTCATTAAATTCACTGTGCATATGAATTTGGCACTTGAAAAATATTGATGATTCCATTCATAAATTTTTTATGCAGTTTGAAATCTTCAAAGGATCCTGCTACTGCAAAGGCAACAGGTTCGGATCCGGATCCCATGCAGACATCTGCACTGGCAAGTCAATGGCTGGCAAATTTGGCCACCGGGATCCATTCGTTTTCCCTTCTCCGATTTGGTTTTGCCGTCACTATTTTTCTTGCCCTCTCTTTTTTATTGTAGTTTTTAATATCCCAACTGAAGTTCAACAAAGGAAAAATGTAGGACAGAATCCAGATTGTACGAGTTTAGTTAGGTCACTCAAGCCATGCATATCTTAATGTTATATACACATATTCATATGCAAATCATTTCAATACAGGAAGATAATATCTATTTTTCTGCACCACTCTTTTCTTAGGTTTACACCAACAACACAAAACACATTTAAATGATTATAATAGGAATCAAATCAACACAAAATATTATTAAAGTGAAAATCTAAATATTTAGAGTATTGAATGTACCCAAAAATTTAATTTATGGAATTCAAAATACCTAGATATTTGTATTAGCGGTGTTCAAAAATACTTGATCCCAACCCGTATATCCGATCAAAAAATCCGGGTATCTTTTTTAAAAAATTTTAAGTTTCGCGTCAGGTACCCGACCCGACACTTCCCAAGTCGGCCTCGGATCACAAAATTACATTTTTTCGGACAGTTACATTTATTTTATATATATAATAATATTACATATTTAATTATTAACAATTTTATATATTAAACTAAACTAATAAAATTTTTAAAAAAAAACTCTCAACCACCCAATAGTTATTTGTTTAATAATTAATATAATATTCTGTTTAATAATATAAATTGTAATATTTTTAAAATTAATAATATGAAAATGATAAAAAAATAGGTACCCAATTATGTGAATTACGAATACCCGTAAATAGATATATAATTATCGGATACCCGTAATATTTGAGTCGGGACCCGGGTCCCCTTGTCTCTCATGGTGAAGAATTGAATTCAAAATACACTTCAAAAAAGTAAACGACTTCAAATGTGGGCAATTTTATTAGACTAATATCTATTCTAAGTGTTTTATTGACATGACCCTTAAATAATAGAGAAAAATAATCTAAGTGACCAAAAATCACATATAATATACGATTTTAACCAACTTTTTCCAGATTTGCCAAAATGACCAACAAAATCGCAATGCGATCGCTAATTCGCAACGCGATCTCCATTATCGCAAATTCACGTTGCATTTTCGCAATGCGATAGTTGAAAATCGCGTTGCGATGGTCTACAGTATCGTTGCGATTTTCCCAATTCGCAATGCGAATAAGTAAATCGCAACGCGAATAAGTAAATCGCAACGCGAATTGGGAAAATCGCAACGCGAATTGGGAAAATCGCAATGCGATACTTACTATCGCAATGCGATAATACAAAATCGCAACGAGATACTGACTTTCGCAACGCGATTTACATAGCGCCATTCGTATTAACGCATATTTTTTTTTCAAATTCCAAACACGAATTTTTTCTTAATAAATCGGAAAATGAACCGTCCACAGTAATCGCAACTCATAACCTCAAACCCAAAAACACAACACTCAGTCCCATCTCCATCTCTCACTCTCTACGGCAAAATCCGTCCCCATCTCCGAAGATTTCCGTCCCCATCGCCGGCGAAATCCCTCACAACCATTCACAGTCAAAAATCCCTCACAATCATTCAGAAATGGAAAATCAACCTCCGAGGGTTAGTTTTTTTTATTTTTATTTTGAAATTTTTGCATTATTTTAGGTTTTTCATATTGAGATTGATGATAAGTTTACTGGTAATTTCAATAATAGATTAACCATTTCACTTAGATTTCTTATTAAATTCATTCGATTGCTGCCAATACTGCTAAACTGTTTAGCCTGTGAAGTTAGTATTTGTCTTTGCTTTGTCTTTTGGTTGAAGTAATGCAGAAGAAGAATAGTTTCGAGAATGAAAATCGCAACGCGGAAATAACTATCGCAACGCGAAATAAAAATCGCAACGCGAAACCAAAATCGCATTGCGATTTTCATTTCGCGTTGCGATTTTTATTTCGCGGTTGCGATTTTCATTTCGCGTTGCGATTGTCTGGTCGCGATAGTCATTTCGCGTTGCGATTCTCTCGTTGCGATAGTCATTTCCGCGTTGCGATTCTCATTATCTCGTTGCGATTTTCATTTCAACCAAAAGACAAAAAACAGTGTTGCAAATTTTAGTTTCAAGAATAAACTACTATTTATGTTTATTGTTTTGTTTTTAGTATATCTTGACAGTTTAATTTTTGGTATATCTAACTTGGTATGTTTATTGTTTTTTTTTGTAGAAATTTTTTTCGGCTTCATTAACATTAAGGAATAAAGTTAGCCTAGCCACTACAATTGCTTCGAAGCTTTCAACTGCACAAAGAAAATTGTTTGAAGAAACCTACTTCGGGCCATGGCTGAGAGTACAACATCCGGGTGGAGATGCTAGTTTGACCCATTTGTTGCTTCAGACCATGACTAGCGATCTACCCGACAGTATACAACGTGGTGAGGAAGAGATATGGTTTCATTTTCCACCGGCGTATACTTGTTTTGGGCGGAAGGAGTTCTGCTTAATCACTGGTCTACGATTCGGACACGATGATGTAGGCCGGTACACTCGTCATATCACCCGCCCATCATGGTTATCCAGGGTTTTTCCTGATGAGTCAATAGAGAAGCCGAACTTACACGTCGACGACATAAAGAAATTGTTTAATAAGAAAGATGGTTTTACTCGGATGAATGACGTCGATGTTGTCCGAGTATGCCTTCTACTACTTTTGTATGCCGGCTTTTTAGGCAGAGAGGCCAGACAACCTATTCCTCAGGAGCTAATATTATTGGTAGAGGACCTAAATGCATGGAATCTGTTTCCGTGGGGTTCGTATATATGAAAAGCTACCTGGACTAAGTTGTCGTCTGCCTTTGATGACCGCAAAAGTTTGCGGGGCGATGGGTCGAAATACACTTTGTCAGGCTTTGTTTGGGCCTTTAAGGTAAGAATTTCTATATAATGTTTTCAAAATTATAATTAATTATTTAACAATTACTAATGTTTTTTATTATATTGTTTGTAGATTTGGATATTCGAGGCTTTCCCCAGCATGCGGACATATGCATTAAAATCCTCAGATGATATTCCTAGGGCTATTTCCTGGAAGAGGAAACGTATGTTGGATTGGGAAGACTTAATACCATATGCGACAATAAATAATGTAAGTTAACACAAATACTATCATATATAAACAAGTTATTAATAGTAGACGTTTAACTTTGTTTTAGTTTTTATATTTTTTAGGAGGCCAACACTCCATTAATGAGACTGACACCCACGGAGGCTGAGCTTGCCACTGATTGGTGGCAAGCTAGTCAGCGTTTTTTTGATGGCACGAATGATGAGCAGCCTCCACTTCCTCCACTTTGAGAGCCATTACCTCACCCCGAGCCATCACCTAATCGACCCGACTATACACCTCTACAACGAGAGCCATCACCTATCCCGTCACATCATCGAGTCTCTTCTCCACCATCACCTCATGATAGGCGATCGACAAAGATGCCACGACTTCTATTTCCCTGTTCTCCACCTCCACGAGATGAGTCAAGGGAGTTACGTGATGAGGTCAATGCCTTGCGTGAGTAGATCGATACTCTACGCGATAACGATGGTGCATGGCGTGTGGAGGTGTCTACTTTACGTGGTGAGGTTGCCGCTCTACGTGAGATGGTAGTATAGTTGCAGAATGAGGTTCATACTCTACGCAACGAGGTAAGTTTAAGATTTTCCATATTTAACTTGATGATAAATTTACTCGTAATTTCACTTAAATTAACCATTTCACTTAGATTGCTTAGTAAATTTATTCGGTTGCTGCCAAAACTGCTAAACTTTTTACTTTAACACTGTGAAGTTAGTATTTGTCTTTGTTTTGTCTTTTGGTTGAAAGTTTGAAATATATTTATCTTTGTTTTCACTGTTTAAATATCATGTCTGTTTATTTACTGATATTTGTATTTTTATTTAGCGGACCGATAAGGTGGATGCTTTACGTCGGGTTTTTCTTGCACGACAGAGTTCACGCATCAGACGGCGTGCACGCGCTATTAAGTCTCCGTATACCCCAATAGTGCGAAGACACCGCAAGAAGAAGCCCGACTCACCTATCATCCCTCAAGAGTCCACTCCTATCGTTGAAGAGGCCCCTATCATTCCTCGAGAGTCCCCTCCCACCGTTCAAGAGGCCACTGTCATCGTTGAAGAGGTCCCTCCCACCATTCAAGAGCCCGATTCACATGGCGTCATATGTAGGATTCTTGAGAAACCCTCTGACGTGCCGGACATGATGGATTCAAGTTGGCTCTCGTATGAGTTACCGGCCAGTACCATACCGGTATCTGAAGAGGAGAGGAAACAACTACCGGACACAATTCTGGATAACACCCTTTGGGCTAAGACCGCAGTTGATTTTTATCTATATGAGCGAAGCCAGGGGTGTTTCACTGACATATGCAAGCTCAATGATGATATCTATTTGTTGCTTGATCGGTCTTGGTGGGACGTATTATTAGGGGTCGAAGACAATGGCTATTTCGATGGAGGGGTAAGTCTTATATTTTTCTTATATTTTCATTTGATTATTTTTTTTGTAAATTTATGTAAGTTACTAATATATGTCTTTTTTTGTAAAACAACATATCGATGCGTGGGTGTCACGTCTTCTAAAAATTAGGAAACTTAAGGAAAATAAAAGAAATACACGGTATACAATTATGCCGACGTCTTTTAACGCCGTTCACTTGAAGAATCAACGAGATGAATCATTTGCGTTGGGCAATGGACAAGCTAAACTTTATCCTGCATGGTGGGAGGTCGATAAGGTTAGTGTTTATTTTAGATTGAGTTTAAAGGTATTCATAAATAAGTGCGCAAATGAATGAATTATTACTTATGATTGCAGGTGTTTATCCCTGTTTTGGAACGTAACCATTGGCTTCTCGTCGAGCTTCAGATCCCATCCCTTAAGGCAATAGTATATGACAGCATGATAAATTACATATCATTGGCTGATTTAAGAGATATTATTAAGGGATGGAGCTCTTATTTGGCTAAATACTTGGATGCGATAAATTATTGGACTCGTTCTGGAAACAAGAAGCCAAAGAAGCTCAATATTACAGTTAGCAGAGACGAGACCGCACCACAACAAACGAAAGGACCCAGAGGGGATTGTGGTCCTCTCGTATGCTTGGCGTTGGACCGTTTGATCACAGGAAGT